CAATTTCTCTACAAGATATAAATGATAATGCGCCTTTCTTAGTTAATAAAATGCCTGTTATATGGCAGGAAAATCGTAATCCTGGACAGGTTGTACAGTTGCAAGCGAATGATTACGATGAGGTTCAGAATGGTCCACCATTTACTTATGGTATTGATAGTGATGCTTCGGCAGATATTAAAACCAAATTTAGTATTGATAATGATTACCTCTTTGCTAATGTACAATTCGATCGTGAACAACAGAAAGAATACTTCATACCAATACGTATCAGTGACTCCGGACAACCTAGACAAAGTGCAGTAAGCATACTACATCTCATAATTGGTGACGTGAATGACAACGCTATGACTGAGGGCTCCTCACGTATTTTCATTTATAATTATAAGGGTGAGGCACCTGATACTGATGTTGGAAGAGTTTTTGTCGATGATCCTGATGATTGGGATTTGGATGATAAGCAATTCCAATGGAAAAATGGAATACCACATGATAATTTTCGACTTAATCCCAGTTCTGGTATGATAACTATGTTACAAGGAACGCAGGAGGGAGAATATATGCTAGAATTTGTAGTTACAGAAGAATCTACTTTTATTCCATACCACTCCGTTGATGCTGATGTGACAATTGTGGTTAGAGAACTTCCAGAGGAAGCTGTTGATAAAAGTGGTAGTATACGCTTTTTCAATATAACAAAAGAAGATTTTATAAGCATACCACGCGATGCTCATGCTGATGATTCATTATCGCTTAAAGATAGATTACAATATTCTATTGCTAAGCTATTTAACATATCTGTTTCGAATGTCGATGTTTTTACTGTTTTGGAAAATATTAATAACACTTTAGATGTACGTTTTTCTGCTCATGGATCTCCTTATTATGCACCAGAAAAACTCAATGGTATGGTTGCTCAAAATCAGCAAAAACTAGAGAATGATCTGGGTTTAAAAATCCAAATGGTGCCCATTGATGAATGTTTAATAGAAAAATATAAATGCGAGTCTTCATGCATGAATATTTTACAAAAATCATCAGTTGCTTACGTTATATACTCGAATACCACATCTTTTGTAGGAGTTAATGCATTTATAGAGGCGGCCTGCGTATGCGAATCAAGAATTAGAAATTATTGTCTTAATGGAGGCACGCCGAAAGTAGGAGAAGACGATGCTTGCGATTGTATTGAAGGATTTTCGGGTCCCCACTGTGAACTTGTCTCTGTAGGATTCTATGGAAATGGTTATGCTTTCTATGAACCGATTTCAGCTTGTGATAATACAAGAATAAGTTTGGAAATTGCACCGCAAACAGATCATGGCCTTGTAATGTACATTGGTCCGTTAAACTATAATTCATTACTTCCGTTGACTGATTTCTTGGCACTTGAACTAGTCAAAGGTTATCCAGTTTTAACAGTCGATTATGGCTCTGGCGGTGTACGTATTGAACATCGACATATACAGTTACAAGCTGGTAAATCGTACCAATTGGACATAATACTACAAAAGACAAGTATTGAAATGACTGTAGATAATTGTAGATTATCGACTTGTATGAGTTTAGGCGCACCACAAGGTCTGAACGAATTTCTTAACGTTAACGCACCATTACAGTTAGGTGGAACACCAGTAAATCTTTTACAATTAGGTCGTCAGCTCAATTGGACTTATATACCTAGTACGCAAGGCTTTTTCGGTTGTATACGAAATTTAACAATTAATGAACAAACATATAACTTAGGAGCGCCATCAGTATCCCGTAATATTGATTCGGGTTGCCAACGTGCTGTAGCTGTCGCTGTTAGCTTCGGTATAGATCGTAATTTCATTATTGCGATTATATCGTGTGTTTTGCTTCTTCTTATTATATTATTAGCTGTAGTTGTGCAAAAGAAACAAAAGAACGGTTGGCATGAAAAAGATATTGATGATATACGAGAAACGATTATAAATTATGAAGATGAAGGTGGTGGTGAACGCGATACCGATTATGATCTAAATGTATTACGCACTCAACCGTTCTATGAGGAAAAATTGTACAAAGATCCTCATGTACTACAAGGTATGCGAGATCCAAGTGAAATTCCAGATATCGGTGGTTTCTTAGGGGATAAAAAAGAAAATTGCGATAGAGAATCGGGTGCTTATCCCGTTGATGATGTACGACATTATGCGTATGAAGGCGATGGTAATTCTGATGGTAGCTTATCCAGTTTAGCGTCATGTACTGATGACGGAGATCTCAATTTTGATTATTTATCAAATTTCGGACCACGATTCCGTAAATTAGCTGATATGTACGGTGAAGAACCATCCGATACAGATTCTAATGTAGATGATGATCAAGGATGGCGCATTTAAGTAAATTAGTTTAACATTCATTCGTGTATATATACATACGCATATTAACATATCTATAAATAAATGGACTTAAAAGACTTTACGCTGTCATGTCGCTTTATGGCGCTTTAATTTATAAAACATTTACATTTAAGAGTGTGAAAAGTTATATCGATTGTTATAATTTTGAAAATACGTGTAAAAACTAAACAAATAAATTACGAACAAATATTACATCATTAACTATGTTTTTTGATAAAATATAGATATTATTATGATATATTTGAAACTTGTTCCAAGACAAAAATAATATACATATATAAGAAGAACGAAATTAAATTAATCGGTGAATTTATTAAAAACTAAAAAGCATTTATTTAAATTACTTTCGAAAAGAAAGGCCAGATATGAAACATATTTCCGTTAATATTAACAATAATGAAATGTAAATCAAAAAAATTATAAATTTTTTTTGTTAAAGAGTTTAAAAATCCCATAATTTAAGTTTAAGTTAAGAAAAGTAATGTAATAAAGACAGATATTTAATTTTTAGTATAATAATTTTTAGTTTTAATTTTTAATTATTTTTTTTATTTTATTTTTTTTGCATTAGTAAATATTTTATTAAAGAAATATATATGAATATGAAATTAAATATAAAAATACAAACATTAGCTATTAAATATAAAAAAATTAAAATAAATTAATAAATTATATAATTAATTTTGAAATAAGTATTTTTATATGTAACATATCGATCGGTTTTAATTTACGAGTATTAGTATTAGTTATAAGAACGCCTATAGTTTTAAACATAAAATACAAATATAAAAATAAAATAAAATCGTTACAAAATAATTAAGTAAGAAATAGTTATATATTTAAACAATATAAATGCGAATATAATTAATAAAGAAAAATAAATGAGAAAAAGATGTAAAATATATTTTTGTAATTTTTTTTTTCAAATTTTATTTAGGGAAGTATAAAATATTATTTTATAGTATTTTTTACAAGCCAATAATTAAAAAAAAGAGAAAACCTATAAATCAATTAAAATATGTGAAACTAAAAAAATTAATAAAAAATATAAATCCACAAAAATCGAATTTTATTTTTCTATTATTGTTGAAGTTAGTTCAATACTTTTTCAACTTTGACGTATATTAATTGACTGCTAAAGTAATGTGGTACAGTATAAATATTTCGATCGGTTGGATTAAATTTAAGATGAAGAGCACAGGCACTGTGTAGAATTAAACTCATGGGACAATGAATGGTTTAAAAGGTAAAAAAAGATACTGTTAAAAATTTTGTGAATTCAATCAAAATTTAGCCAAAATAAAAATGTATGTTCATTATAAATAGATGTTTTTGTTCTTAGTGGAGTATAAAAAATTAATATACCCGGAGACAATTTTAAGGATATTAATATTGATTAATGATTTATTTAGAGTTATCAAAATCATTAATGCATAAATATACAATGGACTTTTTCTAAGACACCGAAAAAATTGTAAATATATACTCATTATCTGAATAAAACCTTGATGAACCATCGTCAGTGATCAGAGTCTGGGTAATTATAAGATTGAAATGTAAGTATAAAATATTTATAATATAAATTTTGTTTCTCTTATTTAATTCAACAATTGATTATAAATAATTATTACAATTATGTGTTGAGAAATTTATTTATATAAACATTGAATATAAAAATAATTCAATTCTTATCATTTTAAGTTACTTGGAAGCTGTTCACTTTTACTTCGAATTATGTGTATAGTATTCGATTTTGTAATAAATATGTATATAAATATATATGTATACATATATATATATACGAGTATGTTTATAAGCATGGAGCAAACAGAATCTTGTAAAGTAAACAAATATAGCAACGCTTACGGACTAGTGTAAATATTCAAGTGGTTATTTGAACTTATCAGTTTTTAGAAATAGCAACAGAATCAATGATGTAGCCATTCAAAGATGCTCCGCTTCCGCACTTTACAGTACAGATCATATTTTATTGTGAATAATGTAGCTTTTAATTTAAAAAACATTTAAATATAGCATTTCAGTTCATATGTATGTATTCTTGTAAATATGAGTTTAAATATAAATATACAAACACACATTCATTTTTTTTACAATAGAAACTTTGAAATTGCAATTACCAATGATTTATGTTGAAGTATTTAATGAATGTTGAAATAAAAATTTCAGACAGAAATCAAATTCGATTGAAATTTGTGGTTAAAAAAAAGAAAGTAAGTTTTTGTATTATACTGACGACATTATACAACACTATACATCACAAAGCAAATGGAAAACTTAACACATTATGAACTGAGAAATTAACTTATAATTATCTAAAAATAATATGATGGTAAGTGGGAACCTAATTTCTTGTTATTCATCTACATATATATATATAAAAAAGTATATCGTCAATAACGTAAGAGTGAAAGACTTCCTCATCCGCATTATTTCCTTCAGCGCTAGAACCAATCCATTTTTCGTAAGTGATTTACTTATGGTTTACTTATGATTTACTTATGGCCTTTAAATTTTTTAGGGAATTTTCTTTTATACTTGCAATTAACTCAAAACGTATTCCTCGAAGTGGTAACATGTGCTTAGACCCATTGAAAGAAGTCACTTGGATCTATATCTGATGAACATGGTACTAAGTTGATTATATTCTGTGAGTCATCTTTTAAAAACATAGAAAGAGTGTTCTTTGTGTAGCCGCAGAACATTCAAAGGTATAATTGTGAAAAGAAAAATGAACTAAATCTCAAATGGTAACATAGTACAGCACTAGCAACTTACAGAAAAACATTTTTTTGTGGTATGTTTCACGCGGGTTTTTAAAATGGTAAATTCCATATACTGTTATGGTCGTACATGTATAAACAATTGAATAAATAAATCAATCCTATATTTATAAATTATATGCATAAACGATAATGACTAATGACTATTATAGACTACAGTAGACAAGTCAAAACATATGTATACAGAAAAAAGTATAGGGATACAGTTAGTTACTGTTTAAATTCACATTATATATACTGATAATAAGAGTCAATCAATAACATCTATGTGATTTCATACTTTTAGGTTTAATGCAAAGTTTCTGGTAACAATTTATATCAAATTTTGTAAGGGCAAAAATATGGCATGGTCATTTTAAAAGTAATTTGCATTCTCCAATTCGTGTTCAATTGTTCTCCTCCGAATCATAATCCACGCATCGAGTTGTCTAGACCCTAGAGCTTAGCAGACTTCACTTGAGTGTCTGTCGAACAATATTACTATTTAGTCTTCCGAAATATGAAACAAAATCAAGAAACAACCTACCATTACCAAGTACTACTATAGATTTAGTAAGCAGTGGAGAAGCCGAACCCTCTATCAATGAATTCTTTACAAGTCATTTATTCTCTTCATCTTCATATTTAACGTAGATATGCGGATTCTGAAGATAATGATGAGCAATCTTTAGAAGTATTGGGGAGAAAAATTCATGGAAAGATCATCGGTCTTATTTGCTTTAATGGTGAATATTGTTTTGAATAGAACAAAAAGTTGCGTAAACTACACTCGCGACATTAAGACTTGGCAGCTAGACTGGGTATGAGATGTAGTAAGAATAGGAGATGACACTGTAGTTAAAAAAAAACGTGTAAAATGATATGAAGGTGGTATGTTACCAGAAAGTTTTGATGTTTTTATGAAAATAAGTTAAAATTTTTTATAAACTATTATTTTTATTTTATTTTTTAAGATCACCTTTAGTGTCATATATATTTGGGATTACAATTCTTGGAATAATTAAGACTGTTTAAGACAATCTTACTCTAAGACAACAGAGGGAGGTCTAAAGTTTTCTTTATCATAGATTATTCAATAGTTAAAAATTAACACAGATTGTACTGTTATATTATTGTGCGGCAAAATTATTAATGTCGTAATAAACAGTTTTATTTATTGCATTCTTAATTAAGATTTTCTCTATTGATTTTGAGTTTATTTAGTGACCCGCAGACAATCGACCGTCATTCATAGCTTTATTTATGGTACGTATTTCGGCGATTCGTAACTGATGTCTTATCCATTTAAGATTCAAGTGTGTCTGTACGTGCGTACATGCGTGCAGTAGACACTTTCATTAATATTGCAAGGCAACAATAGCAGCTGCTTTGTTGAAGATGACGTTTAAGGGTGCAACAAGTGTAGAGAAGCGAAGCTGTTTTTGTTTATTTTACTTTTTGTTTATTTTTTTGCTTCTGGTACAGTTTTCATGTTTTGTACTGTATGAAAAAAAAATGTTAAAACAACTTTTTTTAATATGCTTTGAAATACACATTGAATCCGGTGAGTTGAATATTTGAAGATTATATTAGAAAATATCAAAACTATGATAAATATTTCCAAGAAACTTTTTGAAGAATGTGTTTAATATTTTCTAACGAATTGTTAAGTTTTCTTACATCTCCTACTGAGTTAAGGTAAACACATTTTCAAACCTTGAAAAATGTTTATTGCACGTCTCTGTTTTTCTAATTTTTCTGACTGATTTCAAAAATACGAATAATAAGATGCCCTTGTTTCCTTATTTTTGCTAATTCAGATTATTTAATAAGAAAACGCTCCTCTTAATCCAATTTCTGCTTTCCAGTTCACTTCTTTGTGCTGTTTTTTCTTGGTTTGTGTGCTATAGAATATGAGTCAAATGGTTGAGAAGAATCATAATAGCCGCAGCTAGTGAACGTCAGCCTTCGCCAATGCACTATCAATTTTCCGGAAATTGATTTTCAATTAAAACAAATAAATTTTCATAAGTGGAACAAGAAAATACTTTCAATTTATTTTCAGTTGAGCATGAAATTGAAACTGCACAGTTTCTTTCCATGTGTGAATTCAGTTTATTTTAAAGAAGAGAGAAGAATGTTGCATTCTCTTGCATTGCATCGATCAAAGCTATTTTACTTAATTTTATGGTTTGTAGTAATTTTTAATTTATATATGTTTTCGTGAAAATCAAAGAAATTTTTCTATCAAAACTATTTTAAGGTAATTTTTAAGTTTATTATACTAAATTATGTGTATATGATATCTATATATATACCATACATATATATATTATTATTACATACATATATGTGTACATATTTACTTTGACTACTTCATTAACATTGAATATTTTTTTTAAAAAAAAATTTTATAATTAATTAAGTGAAAATTATATTGTATTTTTCTTGATCTTTATATATACATAGTTCCTAGGTTAGGTTTTCTCCTAGTTAATTATGGATACTGCCACATAAGATGGAGTACAGGTTTCTTCTTATTTGTGGAGCCATAACCCTAAAAAAGTCAATATATAGAAGACCCAGTCTCATAACATGTCTATCTAGTACGTAGTGACCCTTTACATCTGACACCATAGTGCTTCGCAGGTTTCGGTAGATAAAACAACTGACTGGTACGTTTATTGTCTATATTGGACCAGGATCATCCAGAGATCTTAGAGAAATAGCCTTTTTAAGTAGAATCTAACAAGTTAGAGCAATAAAGTATAAGTAATATATTATCTTTGGGAAATAAATTTGCCTGTAATTATTTACTATACTTGCTTTTTATCTGCTCTTATTGTTGTTCAATTAAATCAGCTGTTGCAATTTCTCCTTATGTGGCATAAAGATGAATATTCAAATAGCTTGTAGAGTCCCTCCATATTATCGCATCAATAAATCCCTATATTTAAAGAACATTGTAATCGACTACAAAAGGATAGAAAAAATGAAAAGCAAATA